CCCTCTCCCTGGAGGCCCCTCCTCGGCCTGCCCCCCCACAGGCACTAGAGGCAGCTGTACCTCTGCTTTAACGGAACTGCTCCGGGCTCCCGATGAGCTCTACCCCTTGCTGAACCGCAAGCCCTTCCCCTGTGCCTATGCTCCTAGACAGCCCTGGGGAGCCGGGGGTCAAGCGCTCCCCGCCCCGAGCTGCCCCAGAGAACCCAGCGCCCCTGCTGCTCACAGCCCAGACCCCGGAGGCTGAGAAGCCAGAGCGGCCCCGGCCACCACGCTGGCCCGGAGCCCACCCCCAATCTGTTTGGTGTTTTGTGTCCATACTCTTGCAGTTTTGTCCTTGGACTGGATGCCTCTGGACTCTGAGGTGGGACTGGCCCAGGTGGAGACTGGTGTCTGGGACGGAGAGGGAGGGAAAGGGGGGAGTGTGACACCCGGGGGCCCCTCGCCAGGCTGGGATCCAGAGCCTCCCCACCCACCCACCCCTGCTTCATGTACCCCGCTCCTCTCCTCGGCACATGCAGAGTCAATATAAGGAGGGTGAGAGCTTCTCTGGTCAGGGTTTTTGAAACAGCCACTGGAAGGAGTGTATCCCGGGAGACGTGGGGTTTGAGGGGACTGGACGGCAGGTCTTTAAGATGCTGAGACCTGCCTTCTCCACTGAGCCTGGATTCACACAAGGAACCGTGGTCCTGTCTTCAGTAAGGCTCCCGGGGCAAGCGAGACAGCAGACCTGCACCTCACTCCTCCCCGCCACTGGAGAATAAATGTTTGGGGCCGTTACTCCAACAGATCCACTCTGACCTTTTGTTCCTGCAGAGCCCCAGGAAGAACCCAAGGGCTCAGGGTACGCTTTGGGAACCCAGGGTTCCTTGCCCTGCTCTGATTCAGCTTTCCTAGATCGTGAAGGCGTCTGGTAGCCCTGGCTTTCGTGGCAATAGAGCCTCCAGGTAGACTCCTGTCCTGGTGGACGTGCCCAACCCAGAGGGACACACCAACCACCTGACTCATGCCAAACACAGCTCAGAGGCAAAGGGCTCAGACTGCACATTTGAGGTGCCCTCCTAGGCCTTTCTCTCAGCAATATTCTGCAAGGGTAGCTCCCTCCACTGGGGGTTCAAGGGAGGTGGCCCTCTTCAAAGAGCCTGTCACCAAGCACCCCAACACTCTAATGTGAGGTTCAAATAATGCTCTAAGAATGGCCGCATTTTGGTGGGAGCCTTGATGTGGCGCGGGCATATGGGCTGGTGGATAAACAGGGCGGAGTAAGACTGCTAGCTCAGGAAGCAGGATTCCCAAGGAACTTTGGAGAAGCCACACTGTCCCGGACATTGGAGGTTCCTCTAAGCTTTCCACCCATCTCCTCCACCTTCCCCGGCAGCCCTTACCCATCAAGAGAACCTTCATCGCAGAAGGCTGTGTCTCGTTCATACGTTGATTCCTTGGACAACCCCACCCCACAGATTCTATACATAGCCTTCCCAGTGCCTCCAGCCAGAGGATTTTTCTGCTTCCATCATACTTTCTATTGCTTCAAAACCCTCCATTCCCTAGATATCTTCCTTTGCAGACTCCAAGCCCGAGGGAGTAGAAACTGGTAAGAAATACATGTGTACGCCCCACCCCTACGTCCTGCTCCTGGTAACATTCCCCGTGCAGCACTGATGCCCCGTGTGCTGCAGCTTCATCCTGACAAGCCATCTTCCTTCCTGTCATGTTTTGCCTTTGCCAACAAGCAATAAGGATCTAAGAGCAGATGCAAAGGCCTTGGTGTGCTAGAGTAAGGAAGAGGATGACCTAAGTGATGTGTCCGTTTATTTCTCCTGGTCTCCCCAGCTTGGAGGTGGGGGGGAATCTACCTCCTACTCCTCACCACAGCCTACCTTGCCCCTGGGCCCCTGCCACACACACACACAGCTCTCATAATAGGATGGAGGTACCCTTTCTTTCTTGGGACCCAAAGTTCTGGCACAGAATAACCAGGGGAACAGGAAGAAATCCCATCTCCCAGAGAACAGAACTCTCTTCTCCCTCGGGAGCCTCAGACACTCGCAGGGCGAGAGTATGGACATTGTGGAAGATGGGCAGAGAGCACAGGGGCAGTGCAGTCAGGACTCGGCTACCCGGTGTCCACCCCTGAGCCCCCTCCACGGCACAAACACAGCAAAGGACTGCCGAAGGGGTAGGAGACGGCAAGCGAGGCCCTGGCGAAAGAGGAGAGCACAGACGGGGGAAAGTGGCAGGCTCTGGGGGCTTCTGGAATGTTGAGACGTTGAGAAGGAGCCTGGACGGCACCGTGTGCACTCCTCAACGCCTCAGTTGTCTCCAGCAACACTTACTTCTCATGCAGGAATAAGGTGAGAAAAAGCTGGTAAAGGGAAGTGTTTAAAAAAAAAAATGAAGGCAGTGGGAAGCCCTGAAGTCCCCTGTAGGTGATTTCAAATTAACTGAAATGGGTCCTTCACATTTATAATCTTACTTCATTCTCACAATTCTACAAAGCATTACCGTTGTACAGACGAGGGAATGAGGCTTAAAGAAGCCAAAAGACCAGCCCAAGGTCACAGAGCTAACAAGTGACAAGCAAGAGATTTAAACACACATGATTTCCCCCGTGAAATGCTTCCATCCTACAGTGCGAGCCCAGGCCACTTTCATCCTAGAACATGATGAAAACGGCCAACGTCAAAGGCCATGAGCTGGGACTCACTCGGGGGCAGGCTGAGCAAGGGCCGGCTGCAGCTCCAGGGGGAGGGCAGGACTGGCACCCTCCCCCGCCAGTCCCCAGATGACCTGGAAAGACCACAGCTCCCTGGGAAAGCTCGTCTGTGTATCAAATCACCCCCAGCCCTCCCAAGGCCAGGATCCAGTTTTCTGATAGCTTTGCAGTTCATTATTGGCTCCGAGTCACTGGATGGGGGCCCAGTGTCTAACTCTCAGGCTCTCTATCGGTCTGGAAAGATCAGGGTTACTTCCACCACGTCTTCAACTTTCACGGCACAGGAAGCGGTCTCACACTGAGCACTAGCACACCGCATCAAACCCGCCTCCGATGCACTGGAAGCCAGCGTTGTAAAGGAGCAGGCCTTGAAGCTGCCTTCGAGCTTCTGGAGTAGGAAAGTCTGGGGGAAATAACAGCAAACGTGATGCAGCCCTTTGGGGATTTCTCAGGACGGGAGAAAAGGAGCTCGCAGCAACTCCAGTTCTCACTCCCTGCTTGGAGAGGCACACACGGCGCGAGGCGTTTTCTGTGATGGGGTCAGAACTGAAATCACAAGGCCCATGCTCCGCCAGTCCCATCAGCCCTTCCCAGGTGTGGTGAGCGGTCTATGACGGTGCCAGCAAAGAAGGACGAGGGGGGACCCTGTGATTAGTTTCTTCTCTAGGAAGTTGCCCTAGAAAACACACTCTTTATTAAAATAAAAGTATAAATATTTAAATAAAACGATCCTAATTTGCATATCTATTTTTATTTACAATACCACTTTGGGTGTCTGTTTAAAGAAACATGAACATTCAGACATAATGACATCTCAACCAAGTCTTCCATTTTATTTCCCCTTTAAAAAAGCCTTTTAGAAGGCTCTTAATGGACGTTGTTTTTAGATGTAACCACACACCAGCTATTTGCAGCTTCAGCAGCAAAACCACGAGCGATCTCTGAGAGTCACTGATAAAACCTTCCCTCGCTCTGACAGTTCCTTCTCATACCCAGTAAGGCTCCAATCTTTTCCCCAACTCCCTATGTTTCCATCTTCCTAACTAGGTCACAAACTGGGGGAAATGAGAAAATTCCAAGCTACTCCTCTTTCTGAAAATAAGGATTTGTTTTCCTGGATGAATACATTCGTGATGCAGGGAGAGGACCACCCGCACTTCCCCTCGCTAACTGCCATTCTTCCTGGGTCCGTCTCCCGCGCCTCTCGAATGGCCAAGTCTTGGGCACACACTGAACGCTTTCATGACTAAGGCCCTGCGGTTTCACTCCTACCACCGCCCTCATCTTTAAAAGGCCTTTTGTAAACACATGCCATTCACAAGATGCGTCGTTGAATTGTGGTTCGGCATCCCTGGTGCCCATATCCGCCTGCCGTGCCACGTTCCCAGAACTCCTCTCTGGGACAGTCCGCTCCGCCCACCCGCAGGGCTGGGACGGCCTCAACCCCTGGGCCGAAAGTCTCCCTCGAGATCACTGCTCAGGGAGCCCAGCCATGCGAGGGGATCCTCTTCCCTCCTGTGGCCCTAGGTCATATCTTGGGATGCTGAGAACATTCCCATAATGCTCCCCTAGAGCTGTCTCCTTTGTGGTAAATGTGAGTTATGCAATGTTCAAAGACAAGGTAAAGGAAGTCTCAGGAAACAGGTCTTCTGTGGGAGAATCAGGTTCTTATTCAATGGACCCCCTCTGAAATCTACTCCCCATTATGCAAGAGGGTAAGTACAACTCAGGATAGGAGCTGAATATAGGGGTTCATCCCTGAAAGTCACCCTCAATTAGGCAAAGACAGGTTCAAGTGGACTAAGTTTGAGATACCATCTTGACCACCTTCATAAAGAAATTAAAGGGCCAGGGCCTTGCTGCCCAAGGACATAGTGGGCACTGCACTTGGGAGAAATACGCAGTGAAGAAGGCATTCGAGATCAAGGGATACAGATGAGGATTCAGGACTTCTACAGCAGGACTGTCAGATAAAATTTCCTACCTGACTTTATTTAAAAGTTTCTCTAGCTCTCTTGCCATGCAGGGCCACGAGTCGAACAGAAATCTACAGAGAAAAAGAACCAAACTGGAGAGAATCTCCCCACCAAACTGTAACTTGTTCTCTGACATTTTTCCTCAGGAGAGAAACAGATTTTTAAGCAAGTGAAGACACTCCTTAAGTGTTAAGGTTGGTGGTGTACGTAAATAGAGTTTTAGGAAACCTCAGAATAATAGACAGTTCTGGAACAGCTTTGTTCAGTAATTCCAACTTCGATCCCCTGGGGTGATTTCTCTCATTCCCTCCGCCAACTCCACCCTCCCAGTCTCACAAGATTCTTGATGAAGCAGTGTCTCTGTCGAGGGGTGTAGTTCTTTAAACTGTTGGTCTTGCCTGGGAACCCGAAATCTGGCTCCCAAAGTTCATTCTTCCCTAAAAACCTTTGTCATATTCCTCTGTGCTAACTCCTAGACAGGACTGTGGTCTCCTCAACCTGCTCCCAACCCTGCAATCCCTTCACTTGAAGAGGTGAAGCCCTCCAATACATTTGGGCTCCCCCCAAATCTGACATCTAACGAGACTCAAGGTTCATCTCCCTGCCTTACTTCTCAGGTCCTCAGAACTCAACAAGAAGAGAAAGGAAAGAGGAAAACAGGCTATAACTACTGACATACATACATACATACATACATACATACATACATACATAGATTCCTCCTTAAACTTTTAAGTTGGAAAGATTTCCTGGAACCACGTCTGGTACAAAACCATGGAAATGCTCAAAACTAACAAATAGTTTTCTGAAGCTATAATTAAGACATCAAAAACGTCAGATGGTTTAGGGGAGAGCATACCAACTCTGAGGATGTACTTCTCAACCTTCGTTTAGGAACCTATCCCGGTATGCTGCGTGCCCTGGAAATGGACAATGGCACCCAAGAAACCCCCTTCTCCAAAAAGCCCTAAGGGCATCTGACTTCAATATAAAAACCACTGCCAGAGAGCAGTTCGAACTCACAGTTCACTGTTGGGATTATGCAAAGCCTGTACCTGAGTCCTCTCACCAATGTCTTACCTTCCCCTACTTAGCCTGAGGGTGATTTGAAGACAAAGACCTTTTTTGTAACTAGTGGTACCTGGGCACGTGTTTGGCCCTCCAGATGTACCTCACCTGTTTCATACATGCTTTCCGGCATTTTCTATTATGCAAGGCAGCTTTCCAATCTAATATTTATATCATACTTTACAGTCTACACAGTGTTTTTCCAGACGTATTCCCACTGGATCCTTAAAGCCTCATTGTGAGGCAGGCAGACATAATCAGTACTTAACAGGTCACATGACAGAGCAGGGCGTAGACCCCAGGAGAGTATGAGTGCTTACACCTTACTGCCTCACAGACAGAGCATCTTCCGCGTTCAAAATTTTCACAGGCTGGCCAGTCTCTGGGGGAGGCAACTGGGTGTATTCATACCTCAGAAAGCGTAAATGAGAACACACAGCTAAGGCACACTACTTGATGTGAGTGTACACTATCATGTAAATGTGTTGCTGGGCTGGGTAAAATTTTGGGGGGGGTAATTAGGTTAATTTATGTTATTTATTCTCAGAGGAGGTACTGGGGATTGAACCCCGGGCCTTGTGCATGCTAAGCATGCGCTCTATCACTTAAGCTATACCCTCCCCCTATAAAGACCCAAACTCTGTCTTGCCCAGCTAGGAGGTTGAGCTGGGAGCCCCTTCATTTCGCCCGGCCTCAGTTTCCCCTCTGCGGAGGAGAGCTGCACTGCGCAGTCTAAACTGGATGGAGCAGATGGCTCCGGGTCCCTCGCTGTCCTAGTCTGTCCCACCCCGGCCCCTGCGGTGCAGCCCACGTAGGTCACGTGAACGGGGCCCAGGGGGAGTTAGACCAGCCCAGGGAAACTCGGGCGGAGAAAACCGCCGCAAGGCTGCAAACCCCGCAGACAGGCGCTGACTCGGC